TTACAATATATATTTGGCCTTCTGGACTAACACATACAATTATCAGGTTTACTTCCTCAAGAAACAATTTATGATTACTCCCAGCTTCTCCATATTATAACATTCATCCTGGGTGAAGACCCTGTAACATTTGCATCCATGATTTTACCTCCCAATTATGAGCTGGTGACTCATAGATCTCTATTTCTAGCCTAGACTCTCTGAATTCTAGGTTCATGTATATTTTCATTTGGATATTATGCTGGCATCTCACATTTAGCAGATGACAAAATGTATTTCATCTTTATTTTCCAAACAAATTATTCATTCTGTATTCCCCATCTCGGTGAATGCATCACAATATGTACACATTGTGCTGAAAAAGTTTTCTAGACGCTTTTAAATACCTCCTCTCCCCTCCCGCATCTAAATATTACAAAGTCTTACCATTTTTACCTTCTGAATTTTCTTGGATCCATCCTGCTACTACCTAGCAATAGTGTTCAGTGTTCAGGCACTTACTGTCTCTTGTCTGGATTATTGCCCACTCTCCTGAATGCAGTTCCATTCTCTCTAATCAACTGAAAGTTCACTGCTGGAGTGATCTTTGAAAATACACATCTGAGCTTGTTGCTCTTGCAGTTCTTTAGCGTGGCATGGGAGGAATCTCCCGCTTACCTTTCTAGCTGGATTCACCACCATTCCTGCTCAGGTTTCCTGTACTTGTCATGACACCTACAGTCGCCTGCATGCTCCTTGCTCTCTCATGCCTCAGGCCTTTGCACATGCTGTTTTCTTTACTCGTTGTTCTGTTCTACACATTGATAACTTCTACTTACTGTTTACAAGTTACCTCTGATAAATTTTCTTCGATCCCCTCAAGCTGAGGGACTTTCCTCTATGCTATGAATAACTCTATTTTAGCTCCCAAATAAATTTGTCTCCCCTTCTGATCTATAAATTCTTTATCTTTGCATTCTTTTTTTTTTTTAAAGATTTATTTATTTATTTTAGAGAGAGAGAATGTGTGCACGAACAGGGGGAGGGGCAGAGAGAGAATCTCAAGCAGGCTCCTGGCTGTGTGGAGCTGACAACAGGGCTCTATCTCATGACCCTGAGGTCACAACCTGGGCTGAAACCAAGTCAGACGCTTAACGGACTGAGCCACCCAGGTGCCCTTTTATCTTTGCATTCTTAACATTAGTACACTGCCTTATCTATAGGGGGGCTCAACAATATTTATTGAATGAATGGTTGAATTAATTAACTGATAGCTTAGAGCCCTCCATTTTTATACTTTGTGATCTTTAAAATCCCTAAATATATTTTGTTCTCTTGCCAGGGTTAAAACTCATATGTTGCTTCTCTACCCACTTGCACAGACTTGTAAGGTCTTTTTTAATCCCATCTGTGTGTTTCTGCATCAGCTGGAAGCATTTAATGTCTCCTAAACTTGGAAATCTCATGTGAGTTTTTTCTTCTGGAGCAATTTAAAAAAAGATATTAAAAAAGTATCAATTTCCAAGGAGTTGAAGTTTTTAGACTTCTCTGTCCAGAGAAATCCCTAACTGACCCTATCATTTAATTCCTATTTTGACCTGATTTAAAATTTTAGGATAAATCAACAGCCTAGTTGATTTGAACCCATGATATCATCAGTTAAAACAAAATAAAATAACCACAGTCACCACCACAACCTTTGGTTTCAAAGGATGGCATTCATTAGTTCCCCTTTTATCTGTGTGCCTATTTCCTACATTAAATTTATCCTTTGGGATGTCCTTCAGGAGAAATGGTCTTGCCTTCTCAATTTCCTTTACTTAAACTCGTAATGTGCCTCTCTTTCCCCCACCTGCTGCCATAATATGTTATTTTTGTTATATTCACTGACTCTGTCCTTTCTCACAGATTTATCAGCTTGCTTTTTGGGGTATCAGTGGCATTAAGGTTTTGGTAATTGCCTTGGGCAGAGATAAAAAGCATAGGCTCAAAATCCAAAATATATTAGAATTTTTTAAAAAAGATTTTATTTATTTATTTGAGAGAGAGAGTGAGCCAGAGCAAGCGAGAGAGAGCATGAGGACTCTGTGATCATGACCTGAGCCGAAAGCAGACGCTTAACTGATTGAGCTATCCAGGAGCCCCTAGAATTTTTTTTTAAATTCCAAAGTTCCTACAGCATTAAAGTTACCACAATTAACAGTGAGATATACATAGCCATCATCAGAGTAAAAGAATTAATACTTTAAACCTTATCTTTCTTTGTAGTAATGTATGTTCACAAAATTTTACCTTTCAGAAACTACCTAAACATTGACCTTGCCATTCTAAATTGAGCAGTATAATGCACAGGTCACTTCAGAGGGTATTATGTAATTAGTTTTGATTATACTCTATTATGCAGAGAATTTTCTTCAGCTCCTTCTGAATATTTATACTTTTTATCATTATACCTCTGAGAAGTGTGCATCCTATCTAAACATTCGATTATTTTTCCTCCAGATCACACTGAGATAAATATAGGTAGTGCTATAAAATTGTGGGAAATATGAAAATCACTAAGAGCATCACAGGACAAAAACAGTACACCAAGTTTGATAAATTTTAGGAAGACTATTTTAGGAATATTTTAGGAAGAATAATTTTGTACTCTTTCCATAGTTCTCTACTGTTTTTCAAGTACATTCCATTTCTGATATAGTACTTACTCAATCTCATGAGAGCATTGGGAGAAGTATCATTACTCCATTTTTACAGATGGAAAAACATTCACTGAAAGAGTAGAAGGCTTACCCTGATCACAGTGCTAATGACAGAGCTGGAACTAGAACCTAGACCAGAAATATAAGGGGGAAATCATAGCAAGCCAAGAAAACTACAAAGTGTCTTGTCTTGGGTAATTAGTGAGTACAAATAGTGGGTTGACAGCTACTTCTAACCGTCCTCCCTACATCTTGTAAAGAAGTTAATCTCCCCTAAAGCCTGCATGAAGTCACAGACAGCCTTTATTTTCAGAAAGGAAGGAACTAAAAATATAGTAGCACAGCCATTTATTAACCTCAGGCAACATTATCCGGAGGTAGCAGAGTCTTATGAAAAATGCATGGGATTTGCAATCAGAAGACTTAGGTTTAGATCTCAGTTATTTTGCCAGTTTTTTAATCTCCTTACACTAAATACCTTTTTAGTTAAAATGGGGCTAATAACACCAGCCTTATTGCCTCAGAGGGTGTTGTGATGATCAATAAGATACTATCTAGAAGCACTTTATAAGCTATGTCATTGTATAAGTACAAGTCCTTGTCCCTGTATAGTAGCAAATAAAGGAAATCCTTCCTGTGTAGGAAAGACTATAACATAGTTGTTAACATAATGGGTTAGCAGTTGTACTGACTTGGGTTCCCTTCTAGCTCTGTAACTTGGCTCGGGAACTTAGTCTTTCTAAACCTCAGTTTTCTTACCTTTAAAATGGAGGGGGGATAATATCTTTCATGAGGTTTTATAAAGATTATATAAGATATTGTATGTGGAATAGCGAAGCTATTGTTAAGCTCTCTTGAATTAGTTTTCTTTAAGATGAACTTTTAATTTATATTAATAATTTTAGATCTCCAGAAAAGTTGTAAAGATAGTACAGAGAAATCTCATCTACCTTTCTTCTGGTTTCCTCTGTTGTTAATATCTTACATTTACCACTTAATGAACAAACAAGCATTGATGAATTACTATTAACTAAACTTAACTGGTTTTATTTGGACTTCACCAATTTTTCTATGAATGCCTTCTTTCTGTTCCAGGATCCAATCCAGGGTACCACATTGCATTTAGTTGTCATGTCTCCCCTATCTCCTTTGGTCTGTGACAGTTTATCAGTTTCCTTCTTTTTCATGACCTTAACAGTCTTGACGAATATTGTCCAGGTATCATGTAGGATGTTTCCCAATCTGGTTTTGCTTGTTGTTTTTCTCATGATTAGATTGGGGTTGTGGACTTCTGGAGAGAATAGCAGAGAGGTGAAGTGCTATTCTTGTCACAATGTGTCAAGAGCTACATGATACCCACGTGACATCACTGATGATGTTAACTTTTATCACTTGGTTAATGTAGTGTTTGCCAGGTTTTTCCATGGTATTTTGAGCTAGTTTTGATCAGTTATCACTTATATCAGACTTTCTCTTCCCTGTCTTCCCACTGTTTGGAATGCTTTTCATTTATATTTACTGCAAATGTCATATTCAGAAATATCTTTTCTGACCACCCAAGCTAAAGCAATCTCTATGACATTTCACTTTTGTGTTTTCTTCACAGCATTTATCATTGCCTGAAATTGTCTTGTGTATTTGTTTACCTAGTTTATTGTTTGTTGATAGTCCCCCACCCCCTCAAACAAGAACATAAGCTTCAGGAGAACAGGATCCTTGTAGGATTGTTCACATCTGTACACTTGGTGTCTAGCACAGGGCTAGCATATGCTAAGTGCTCAATAACTATTTTTTGAATAAATGTCAAAGAAAGAAAGATCCAGTATTAAATTATTAGTAAGTATTTCTCAAAAAGATTGGAAAATAGCTGAATGGTAGAAGGTTCAATTTAATATTCTTAACTGAATTGGTTTAGTTTTAATGAAAAGGTTAAATGCAATCATAAGCATCTATGGAAATAGGTAATCAACATCCTTGTAATTCAGGCTCTATTATAATGTACTTAATAATGTGAATGTCAGAGTATTTTTCTGACTTATAAGCAAGATATGACGGACAAATGTAAGATCTCCTTAGTTATTACACATCTGCACCTTTGTGACCTTTTTTTGCTAATTGGCTCAGCTTTCCTATTGTAGAACTTTTTAACAGTATCAGAAGGAGTGTAGAAATAATTGATGCCCTTGCTTTTAACTTATACCTGACTTCTTAGCATCTATTATCTTTTCATTTATATTGACAGAAAAATGGAGCTTTTTTGTATAAATCTTTTTTTTATAACTCATAGTAAGAAAGCTCTTTTCTTATGTGTTTCTTTAGGACTTAAAATCTCCAAATCAGAGGGATGAAATCGCAGGGGCCCGGGCCTCACTGAAGGAGAACTCCCCCCTCTTGCATTCAATTTGCTCAGCTTGTTTGGAACATTCTGATGTTGCTTCCCTCAAAGCCAGCAAGGACACAGTTTGTGAAGAAATTCACAATGCCCTCAATGTAATTTCAAATGCTTCACAAGGCATCCAGAATATGCTTGCCCCACCAGAATCTAAGGCAGCAACACTGGGAAGTGCCCTTGATGAGCTTGAGGTAAGTAGAGAGAAAGGTAAAATGTGATTTTCTGTGTCTCAATAGGAAAATAAACAGATGTGGGTTTTCAGATTTTTCAGATCAGAGTTTAGAGTATGAGTAAATAAAAATTCAGTTACTTAATGAGTCTCCATCATTGCCTTGTGCCTTCCAATGAATTGATTAGCGGGAAAATATTCTATCAGTAGACTTCTGGCTCCTTTACATTTCTTCTAAGGAAGTCAGTGAATTTAAAGTGGGATTGTTGATTAGATTGAAATGATGATTTTAGCCTACATCGATCAATTTATGAAATGTAGGATTTATCCATTCCACAAATGTTGTGGAAAATAATCAGACCGGTGAGAAACCAAGTGACACTTGGAGAAGTAGGAGAACTGGGAGAACTCAGGTTTATTTTACACGGGCGGACCCAGATGAGGTCCCTGACCTGTGGAATTCCTTTCTGAAATTCCTGGGAGGTGATCAAACTCCCCTTCCACTCAGAGGAGCAGGACCTGACTAAGAATTGTCGTCCCTGGAGGCTTACTGAGTCTGGACGAACTGCCAGGCAAGTTGGTCCACTTCTCCTTGGAATCCAGCTAGGGCAAGACTGCCTGGAGGGTTGGAACTCTGGGGTGAAGGAGGACCCAGAATACTGTCAGGTGGTGCCCCACTCAGTGGGTTCCGAGTTCCTTCCTGCTCCAGTGCAGTCTGAGCCACCAGTTGGTGGCTCAAGGGGCCAGAACGGTTTGAATCTCGCTGGGGCCTCCAGAAATGTGGAAAATAATGAGACCGGCAAGAAACCAAGTGACACTCAGAGAAGTAGGAGAACTCAGGTTTATTTTATGCCGGTGGACCCAGATGAGCTCCTGCTCAAATTTTGGGCCCTGGGCAGCGGGGTTACAGGGTTTTTATACGGGGTGCAGGGGGTCAGGTTCCAAGGGCCATGCTGGCTGCTGGTAGGTAGGTTTAAACCGGGGGAATGGGGGCTGCTTTAGGCGGGAACAGTAGTGCCGGGACCCTGTGTCAGGAAGCCTGTTTACAGAAGCAGAAACGGCTGGTTATCTCTTCCTCCCAGTGGGACTTCTGGTTATCTCTAGCTCTTTCTATCTACTGGGGCCTGCTCTCCCTGGGCCTGCTCTGGGTAATTTTCCTCTTCACAAATACTTATCATTGGCTCTGTTTTTTGTGCTTGGGATAAAATTGAGCCCTGCCCCCATGAAGCTTATGTTCTAACAGAGGAATATAGGCAAAAAACAAAAACAATGAACATTGTAGATAAGTAAATTGTATAGAATGTTACACTGAGAAAGCAAGATGACTTGGACGCTTGAAAGAGATTAGATAATTGGGCAGATGGAGATCTAGAATGAAGGTTTGAAAGCATGTCCTGTTGTTTAAGGGATAGCACAGAAGCCAGGATGCCTAAGTGGGGAGAGTAAGGGGATGAGTCAGAGCTGAACTGAGGAGACCCAAAGGGGCCAGGTTATGGAGGATTCTGTGGGCTTTTAGGGGCTCTGGCTTTTACTTCAATTTAAATGGGACCCATTCTTAGGTTTTAAGCAGAGTTATCACACTTGAGTCTTAAAAGGACAATATTGGCTGCCTGTAGAGTATAGACTGAAGGGGAACAAAGGGAGACGCTGACAAACCAGGCAGAAAGCTATTACAGTAATATAGGTCCCATCCTTATATTTTATGTGCATCATCTCATTCAACCTCACACTTTAGTTTGGACCAGGGTGGCATCAGTGAATATAAGGCTAAATTTTGGAGGTGAAGCCAACTGGATTTGACAGAACGGATGTGGGATTTGAGAGAAAGGGAGGAGTCATGGCTGATCTTGCAGGCTGGGTCATCCAAAAGCACACACTGAACAGTTTGGGATATAAAGCGTTGTTAGGAATTAATATGTGTGAAGGGAAGAGGGAGGGAGCATGATTGAGCTGAAGAAGTCTACCTGTGAGCCAGACCCACAAAACCTAGACCAGTCAGCAGGGAGCTCTAGAAGGAGGAGTGCCCTCTAGTGTACTTTGTCAGTCAGAAATAGCCAGGCTTTTTTTTTGCCTCGGTCAGTCACTGGATGCAGGTCACCCTGCCCTGGGAAGGCTAAGTATGACATCCAGGCACAGGGAAGAGGGAGCAGTCCCTTGCAACTGAGGCAGACCCTGTAGGAAATAACCGCTGCAGGCCATCTGCTGGCCTCACTCCCCACAGCTGAGCAGTAAGTCCTACTTGGAAAGGAAATATGGATAGTACATCTCTGTGTCTACCAGAGATAATGACAAGGTTTTGTGTTTTTGTTTTTTGGGTTTTTTTCTTCTTTAGCAACTGGATGGATAGAGTTTTCATCAACCTTGATAGGGAACACTGTGGGTGAAGCCAGTTTTGAGAGGAAGATCAGAAATTCAATTTTCAACATGTTGAGTTAGAGATATTTCTCAGACATTCAAGTTTGATGTCAAAGATAATTAGCTATACAAGTCAGACATGTAGCTGTTTAGTGGGAGACAACATAGTGTAGTGCTTAAAGATAAGGGTTTTAGATCTCTTTATGCCAAGGTTCCTATCTCAGCTGTGGCACTTTTTAGGAAAGTTATTTATTTATTTATTTGTTTATTTATTTTTAAAGATTTTATTTATTTATCTGACAGAGAGAGACACAACGAGAGAGGGAATACAAGCAGGGGGGAGTGGGAGAGGGAGAAGCAGGCTTCCTGTGGAGCAGGGAGCCCGATGTGGGGCTCGATCCCAGGACCTTGGGATCATGACCTGAGCCGAAGGCAGACGCTCAATGACTGAGCCACCCAGGTGCCCCAGGAAAGTTATTTAATTCTCAGTTTTCTCACCTCTAAAATGGGAAGAATAATAGGGCCCACATCATAGTGTTGTCAGAATCAGTGAACTAATAATACAGGTAAAATGCTTAGAACAGTGACTGGCACATAATAAGTGCTCAGTAAATTTTAGCTCTCCTTATCATTAGTGGAGATGACTATTTGGAGGCAAATTCTTCCCTAATGAAATCAATGCAATTAAAATTACTAAAGTATTACTAGTAACTTAAAAAATAAACACATGTAATTCCTGTATTGTTCGTAACATTATTACTTTCATGATAAACTTATGAAAATCTAATTCATTTACATTTAGAGTAACCTTTATGGTTTTCCTTTAGTTACATGTCTTTAAACAGATGTCTTTACTTCTAATCTAACATTAAATTCCTTATTATTGGCACCCATGCAAAAATTTATTAAGTTCCTAATTATTAGCATCTATGTGAAAGTTCTAGAAACTAAATAAGTTAGATGATTAGTGGTGACTCTTGAACAGTACCCATAGTAAGACTGAAAACTCCTTGTGGGCAAGATTGTGTTTCTTAGTAATTTTATACCAGTGATACTAGCGGAATGTTAGGTCTCCCCATACATTGGTATGTATTATTTCTTGATAGCTAAACGTTAACATAAATGTATTTGTATATAGGGCGCCTGGGTGGCTCAGTTGGTTAAGCGACTGCCTTCGGCTCAGGTCATGATCCTGGAGTCCCTGGATCGAGTCCCGCATCGGGCTCCCTGCT